CCCCCCCTTTTTTTTTTTTCTCTTGACTTTTACAGTGGTTTTTTTGTTTGGTTTTATTTGGTGAAGGAGTATATGCACACGCTTTTGTAGAAATAAGGTGAAAGCTTCTCTGTTGCTTTCCAAAATGAAAAAGGTGAATGAAATACCATTTCATTTCAAGTTAAAAACAGTTTTAAATGCAGCATCATCTGTGCTCTTTTTAGGTAGCTTTTCTTTTCCTTATAACCACTTCCTTATAACCTCTGGTCCTGGACAGATTTTTTTTTTTTTTTTTCTTCCAAAAAAAACCCCTTATTTTTCTCATATCTTGGAGTTTTGTGTGGTATATTGGTATGCAATGCTGACATTCAGTTGAGAATATTTGAGTTTTAGAATGAGTAACATACCCTTAACAGTACTTTCTTAATGATGTAAAATTGACTTTTAAATTGCAGTAAAGTATTTTACTAAACTTGTATACAAAAAAAAGGTCCCAATCTTGAAAATTGGCTTCTGTTTGGGCTTTTTAGTGAAATTACAAATGTTTGTATTTGCTATCTACTAAATGTATACCTTAATATTTGTAATTTACTATCCATAAAATAGTAGTTTTGAACTGATTCATACCTTAAATGTAATTTACGTTAGCTTAAGAATCTGCTGTCATAGTGAAATGTAGTAATATATGTCTAAGATCTCAAATTTGTACGTTCTATGCCTACAGTTGGATTTGATCACAGACCTGTTGGGAACACCATCGCTGGAAGCGATGAGGACGGCTTGTGAAGGCGCCAAGGCACATATACTCAGGGGTCCTCATAAACAGGTATAGCTGGAGATCACTGGCCTTCTTTTACACTTGGTCAAGCCAGTCCTTCAATCAGCTGCCATAAGTTAGGATTTCCTCCGTGCAGGATACTACCACTGCATTATCTCAGTGTTTCACATCTTGATTAAATTGTCATGGCATGTTTGTTCATAAATACTTTGCTTAGATATTTAATCTCAGAGCTGTCTCTGCCTGTAAACTGAGTTAAATTTATCAAAGGTGGCTGTGGTGTTGCAGCAGCACGGGTTAATGGTATAGTTATTCAAACTACTATTGAGACAAGGTGGTTTTTCGCTAGCAAAGTGCCTTTCTGGCTTCTATCTTGTATGTATTGTTTGACTTGATGATACAGGTGAAATTCTCCTTTTTTGAAACGACAGTGTTTTGATAGCTATTCTGAATGAAGATGTTAAATTTGAGTGATAATATTGACAGTATAGTTCAGAAAGCCCCAGAGGGACTGCTGTACTGACAAGAGTGTTAGAAGTGGAAATCAGCCATTATCCAGATCTGTAAACAGAACAGTCCAGCAACTCATCACCAAAGGGTCCCCTCAGACATCTCTGCAGTCACCTGAGCTGTTCCTGAAAGGCTTAACAAGATACTGAAAACTGAGATACAACATTCAACATAACTGAAGTAAAAGTTAATTAAAAAAAACCCAACCACCCAAACCAGAGAAAAAAGGCGGGATGATGTCATTATGATGACTGGACAATGAAAAGGGCCAATGAAATACACTGTTAATAGATACAAAGAAATTCTTATGGAGGAATCCATAGTGCAGGAAGAAAGCAATATGTCCATCCAATATGGTCATTTTTATGATTGTTAGATAGTAAAAATTAACAAAATTAACAACCTGTACATGTTCATACATCAGACCTTTCTAGTAGTTAAGTTTGCATCTTTATTTTCTGCATGTTGAAGTGATTTCTCAAATGTCTACTCACCACAATAGTAGTTACCATAGAAATGAGCACTGAATATATATTCTGCTGTATTATTAACATGTGGGAGTTCTGCCTTCTTAGCACTTTTGATTCACTATATCAAATTGTCTCTATTCCATTTCATGACAGCTTTTTTTTTTTCTTTTAACATTAATAATAGGAGGATTTCCTTAAGACTTTCTCTACCAGTTTTAAAACAAATCAAGTCTATTTTTTTGCTATCGCATGCTAGAAGAGTTGTAACTTTTAAGCGTGTAGTCCTGCACTTTCAGGGTTTGAGATGTTTAAAAAAAAAAAGGTTTATAGTGATTGAAGCTAGGAGAAATATATCCACTATACTTTATGTATATATAAAAATATGTAACAGTATACAAATACATCCAGATGGTTCATAGAATACATTGGGTTCAAATTCTCATAATTTTAATAATTGCTTGACATTTCCAAAGTGCAGTAGCTGTGCTCTTGCTTACTACTAAGCAAGAACTCTGGAATTTCTTTGTTAGCCTTGTTCACTTTGTTAAACCAGGATGTATTATGAAGAACTGAAATGAGCACAAGAATGTCTTCTGATTCTCTAATGCCAGTGCTAAGGCTATTCTTGTACAAGCCCCTGAAACCGTGTGTCTCTTGACCCACTGAATGATGGGAATACTAAAAAGCAAGTGAGGTGAAATGGAATAAAATGTTTCCAGTACAGATTTAATGTCCTGTAGCCACTAAGTCATAGGAAATAAGCCTTAAGCAGTTAGTTCTGTCTCTGTTGAGGAAAACGACATTCATTTCTCATGGAGTGCCACGGAAGTTGGGCAGTCTCTGGAGTTGGCGTGCTCATTTGCAGCTTGGAAGTAGGGGTTGCAGTGCATCTAGTTGGTTTCATTCTTCTCTGTTTTCAACTTCAAGCACCCTTTCTGTTTGAATGCAAATTCATGGCTTTTCATCTTTTACAATGGAGATTTTGCTGGTTATAAATAGCTAAGTGTTACCAGTTTCCTAATTAGATTAATAGGGAGAGAAAAACATGTTAGAAACTGGTGACTGCTTCGTCACACGAACTATTTTTAATCGATGTAGGTGAGCACAGTAGGAGTTAAGGGGTAAAGCATTTTGCTGCTCTAGGTAAAAATAGATTAATGCATGAAGTTTCTGATTTAAAAAAGAAAACATAACCACCCCACTGTGTGTTGGCATAATGAAAATTTACATACCATGTAGACTTCTTTGTCACTTTTGTATTTAAAAATTTTACTTCAAACTAAATTTAAGTGTATTGATAAAAGTTGCTTAACCAGCAGCCCTAGGAAGGGCATCTTCTCCCATGTTCACATGTACCGTAAGGAGTGGTTTGGACTTCACTGGCAGTCGTGTGCTGACCCACTTCTAAAAGTAAAACGTGTTGGACCTCCCTGCTGCGATCCTTGCATGCTCTGTTACAGAAGAGAGAGATCCAGTGTGATGCACCTTACTTGCTAAGGGACCTGACCCTTGATTCCATGATAATCAAATCTTACAGCAATTCAGTTTTTACCAATTTCTTCTGCCCATGCTAGTACTCTTGTCAGGACTGTTGCTGATCTCTTGCTGTGGACTTGATTGCAGTTTGCCAAGAAAATGCTGTCCCCAGAAGCTGTATGTAACCAGATGCTCTTGGAATGGCAGACAAGCTGCAGACAAGGGGTATAAGTGTAGCCAAAAAAAGTGCATCTTTCACTTGTATTGGATGCAACAGCTTCCATAAGTAGGGACTGTAATAATACTTTCTGCCTCAGTATATGGATGAAACCTACTTAGTCACAGTGCTTGGATGACAGTGCTTTTTTGTATAGATGGTACTTATTAATTAGGAAAAAATCATACGAAGTTAGCAAATGCTATAGCTTTATATTCTATAGACTACACTTAGAAACTGAGGCTGAGAAGTGCTTAGTGCTGTATTTCGTAGCTCAGGCTTAGCTTAGAATGATGTCACCGTGGAGGTGTAATTTTTATATAAACTGACAAACTTATGGCCACTAAATAACTTCTATTCATTTGCTTTGCTAAACAGGTAGAAGCAACAGATGCCTGCCAAATAATATTAGCATTGCATACCAGTTAAAAATCTGTGTAGAGTTAATGTAGTTCTGGAAGTCTGGTGGATCCATGCAAAGTTTGTCAGTGAATATTGTCCTATAAATATGCTAGCTAGCTTTCAATTGGTTTGTTATATTTTAGGCAGAAAGTTTTAGTCATTTCTGTCAGCCAACTAGTATATTCTTCCCACCTTTTAACAGTAATTAATCACACCTGCTAGTGAAGCACTCTGTGTAATTCTTCCTGCCCTAATGATTCTTCCCAACACTTGCATTTGCTAGCTAATATGAATGCTATTTGAATTTTCATGGGAAGAATACAAAGGTATGTGTGTGTGGCTGTGCGTGTATGCGATGGTTTATTTCCTTTGAAAAAATAAAAAAGAAATTTTAGGAATATTGGACTTGGCAGTAACGTACTTCATAGTAGGAATTTTCTTTGCAGCAGTGGTGGGCCTAATATCTATGGGGTTCTTTTTTGCTTTGATTGGAGGTTTTGGTTTCTTTTTTCAATAGGTTTGTGGTTTTGCTTTCTTCTAAGTGTGAAAATGGAGATTTCTTTTCCCC